ACTTCCATTGCAGCTTTCCCTCCACACGGGAAGATCAGACCCAGGAGTCCCTCTACAAGGAAGTAGCAGTGATCAGGTAAAGGAAGGAAAAGGATGTTTCTCACCTGTGGCATCCTGGAGATGTGATGGGTCATTCACGTGATCAGCTTGGATCTCCTCGATCCCCAGCCTAACCCCAGCCAGCTCCTTGGACACTGCAGACAACAGGGGGCAGCAACGAACTGCTGTACATGGGCGTGTCGAAGGGAGTGACCCCACCCATGGGCAACCCCTATGATTTTATTGCACCCCTTGTGACAAGGGAACTGTTTATGCTGAAGCTCTTGAGAAACATTAGCAGAACCTACCATTAAGAAGTCGACTATTAAACACGTTGAATTCTTTGGACATCTTCAACTCTAAAAGGAAAATGAGAGAATGGGGAGTTTCCATTTTAAATAACAACACAGAACCTCATGCTGCCCCACCCACATGCTCCACCCCTGAGGAGCGCTGGATAAGGACCATTCATCCAGGAATGTGTGAAATGTATGGAGGAAGCGCAGTCGTTTGCAAGGATGTAAATGGCTTTCACTTATAGCTATTACTGATTTAAATTACCGTGCTACCTACAAGTCCCACCTGAGATTAGAGCGCCTTTGGCCCAGGTGCTGCACAACTGGAACTGAGATTGGGTACCCTTGCTCTGGCACTGCATAGACACTGAACAAGAGCCAGTTCCAATACAAATAGACAAGAAATGTTACCCATTTCAAAGATAGTGAAACTGAGGCACAGAGAAATGAAGGGCCATTTGCTGGGTGTTTGGGGACACACTTCCACACTCTTCTGGACAGACTGCGGCCTCCCCCGACCCATATTCCTGCTTCCTTTTTTCAGATGGTCAGGGGAGTGTCCTGGATGAAACGGGTCTCAGTTCCCACTCACCCAAGCAGTAGTTGTCTTTATGGGGGCCCAGGCATGTGCCTACTCCTGGTACAGACAAATTCCACTCATGCCCATGGCTTCCCCAGCAGGATAACACTCTCAGCCAATGAGACACTGGTAGAAACGTGACCTCATCACAACAAAATTTCATTGGATAATCAGTGACCCTAGGAACAGGACAATGTTGTCCAACAACTTCTAAGAGCTGCTTCCACCTCCTGTGGTTGTCCCACACCCCACAATAATCTGGAGTCCTGTCTGAGCTGGGGTCAGATCCCCAGCTGATGTGTGTCTGCTCAGCTCCAATGAAGTCGAAGGAGCTACAACAACTTCACCGGCCCTGCAACTGACCCCTTGGGCCCAACTCTCCCCTCCCTTGAGGTGTAAGAACCTAAAAAGTTCTGCAAAGTCCAACATGGAACAAAAACATTTCCTTTATCCTCTCACCTAGATAGTCCTGGTGATGTGTCAGATTTCTCTTGGAATCTCTTCTTATTGTATCTCGATCCTCCTGGGCTTCAGCAAGACCCTTGGACACTGTAGACATGACACTTTTGATAGCAGAGTAAAATTTATCAGCAGGGGAAACCCATATCTTTGGGGACATCCGTGCTGCTGTAAAATGCACTTTCCTCCCAGTTACTACCCAAGACTTCTGATGTCCATTCCCCTATGTTAGCTGTGATCCTCCACTACAGGCACACTGTGTTCAACACCGGGATTCATTATTCTGGACACGAGCTTGGTCCTCGGTACAATGTAGAGCTGCGTTGGGGCTGCTCTATGTTACACTGAGCTGCCAGTGTCCCCAAGATATGCGGTGCAGCTGCTATTACTACACGCGGGCGTGGAATGTGGCTGGACAGCTCAAAGGGGCAGAGCAAAGCTGAGAGTGAAAAGGTTCAGCCTTCCCAGAGCAATGCAGGGCTCTGACTGCTGTGCGGAGCAGAAAGCCGCCTGCTGCCACGAGGAGCCTGTCTCGGTTTGTGTGTGGTTAGCTGGTTGCAAAGTTAAAAAGGGAAGGAATGTATTTGTCGGGCCCAAGCTCTCCTTGTGTTAATGTGGAAGAGGCGATTGTGGCAGCGCATTGTGCCATGCCCCTGTTGCATTCTTCTCACACCCAGACATTCCCTCTCCGCTAGCAGAAGCCGCAGCCAGCCCTTTGCACTGGCCCCAGCACAGCGTTGAAAAAAGAACATTTTTGTATGAATATTTCACAACCTTCAAAAGGTCACCACAAACACGGCCGGTTATTGATTTTGGGTGGGATTTTTCTGAGATTTACGAGCACAAGTCCCATGGAAAGCTAGCGGGAGTTATGCTAAGGACAAATTCCTCCCTTTGAAATACCGGTCACCTTAACTCAGAGGTG